ATTAAAAGAAATACGAATCCTGTGTGTTTCCATTAAATGTACAGACTTTGGTGAAAACTACAAACTTGCGCGAATTTTCCGCAGAACCGGAAACAAAACACGTCTCGCATTCTTCTTCTTCTAGGTTTTCTGGTGGTTGGCAACCAGCTTGTAAATGCATTACCGCCTTCCTTTCCTTGAGTGTGGATATCACCATGGAGAGAGGTGCGCTATTTCATACTTAATTTGAACATAACTGTTTCCATCCCCCGTTTTGCGAATCAACATTTTTTCGAATCAACCAAAACCCGGCTAAAGCGAGCGTATTTTAGTTTGAGTGAATCAGGGGATTTTAATTCGAATTTTGGCACTTCCATCATAATTTTCCAATGTGATACATCAGCCTTCCTAGGCAAGGCAAGTTTATTTGTAGAGCTTTCTCAAGGACTTTGCCTAAAAACGGCAGATTTGAAATGGGCCGGTAGTTGTTCAATACTGTGGCATCAAGACTGCTCTTCTTTAGGAGAGGCTTTATGACCGCAATTTTCAAGGCCTTTGGGAATGTTACAGATTGTAGTGACATGTTAACTATGTGAGTGAGTGGTGGTAACAAACTGCTCAGCACAGACTTTAGAAATCTAGTGGGTAACACATCGAGGCAGCATGTAGATGAACTCAGACTGGTGATGATCTCTTGGACAGTTTTGTCAGTTACAGGTGCAAAATGAGTCAGCTCTAAGTGTCTAGGTGGCTGCAGGGTTGTTATTGGTGTTGTGGAATTGATGGCATTTTTAATGGTCTGAACCTTGTCGCAAAAGAATACTGCAAACTCATTACACTTAGATGTGGAGATCAGTTCCAACGGCAGTTGAGCTGGAGGGTTTGTTAATCTGTTCACTGTTGCAAATAAGACACGCGAGTTGTTACTGCAGTTTCCAGTAATTTCAGAAAAGTACCTCTCCCTTGTTCTACGTAAGATCCGGTTGAACACGTACAACTTTTCTTTATAAATTTCATAATGAACATGAAGCTTTGACTTGCGCCATTTCCGCTCGACCCTCCGGCACTCCCTTTTCTGTGCCCTGACCGAGTCGTCATTCCTCCATGGCGCCTTCTGCTTATTTTTAACCATTTTAACCTTCACAGGGGCAATGATGTCCAGAACATTCAAAACACTCGAAGTAACAGAGTTCAACAAATCATCAACATTAGAACATGAGGCATTTTCAAAGTTTATCATTTCCATGAACAGAGCACCTGTGCTGTTATTTATGTGTCTCCTCCGAACAACTGCAGGACCAGCCGGTGGTTTGGGAGAAACAGACAGGTCAAAGAAGACACAGAAATGATCAGACAGAGCAACATCAACCACATTGACGTTTAAAATATTAACCCCCTTCGTAATGAGCAGGTCCAGAGTGTGCTGCGCTCTGCTGTGGGTGGGCTCACACACATGCTGAGTCAGGCCAAAGGTTTCAAGGACAGCACTGAGCTCTTTAGCATTTCTGTCACAGACATTATCCACATGTACATTAAAATCACCTGTAATGACCAAACCATCAAAGTCTGTGCATACAATTGAAAGCATCCTGGTAAAATCATCAATAAAACTTTGACGGTGCTGGGGAGGCTTGTATATAACTACATAGAGTATCGACGGAGACTGTTTTAGCTCCATTTTAAAGTATACATACTCAAATGATGAAAACACCCCAAATGACAACCTGTGCATAACCATATGATCTCTAAATATTGCACAGACACCTCCACCCTTTTTGTTTTCTCGTGTTTCAGATTCAAATTTGTAGTTGGGTGGAGCTGATTCCGTTAGAACAGCATTACCTGTGTTTTTGTCAAGCCATGTTTCAGTTAAAAACATAAAATCAAGATTATACAAAGAGATCAAATTATTAATTAAAAATGACTTGTTAGACAAGGATCTGACATTAAGCACAGCAAGTTTCAGATTAGTTTCAGTAGGACTGGACATTATCTTCTTACAAGGGATATGGATTAAATTTCTCTGATTGGACAGTCTAACTGTCCTTCTGTAATCTGGTCTATGTGGTGTGGCTGTAGATATAGCACTAGGGGAGAATATTGTCTCACAGGGCCCCAGCTTGATATTACCTTTATCATGGCTGTAAGTCCTGGGACAGCAGAGGCCCTGTGCATCCTAGCTCTTAGGGATACCTTTTCCTACTTCTACTGTTGGTGAATTTTCCCTCTGTGCAAACATTACAGTCTACCTTAGTTTCACCTGTGATTTTCATGCCTACTACTATCAGGTAGTTTCAACACATCATCAGTGTTACAATGTCCCAGTATTACATGCCATGTTTTGACATCACATGTTAAATTCACTTTGTCCTTGGACATTATGTCATTGACTGAGTAATCAACCCATTTTTCATTGTTATTTACGGTTTCAATGTAGTATAGTCTTTCCAACTCCTTGATGTGGAAAACAGTCCCATCTTTGGTTGTCAGTTCATTCTTCCCTTTCCGGATAATCACTTTGGCTCCATCAGCTGTTACTGCCTCTACTGAGAGGATGCTCTGAGGATACGATGGTATAAACAGGGCCCTCTTCAGTGTTACCATGACGTTTCTCCCCTTTTGGTCCCATAGCATCATCTCTGCGTCTCCTCGCTTGAGAGCCACGTTGTTCTCCCTGGTGCCATCCGCAAGCTCCATAAAGTGTTGTTGTGGATTGAAAGTCTTGTTAAATCTTGTAAACTTACTTTCCTCTGTTATCATGTGAGATGTTGCTCCACAGTCCACCATCAGTCCATTTCCCTTAATGTCTGGGAGAAACTCTTGACTAATCTTGAATACGAAGGTTTGTTCTTCGTCACGACCTTCTTGTTTCTCTGCAGATTGTTTTGCGTCATCTTTGTGCAGCGTTTTCCTCCTGCATGTCTCATCGCTGTGTGTTGAGCTTTTGTGGTAGCTGCACCATTTCGCGGCTTCTTTTTGACGGCTGTCTCGTGCAAAATGACCGCAGTATCCACATCCATAACATGTCACAGACAACACGTCCAATTTCATTACATTGTCTGACTTTATCTTTGTGTCAAACTTTTCTGTTTCTTCATAGCTTCACAGTTTACCTTTGAACTCAGTGAAAGTCAACTCTTGACTGCTTTGTGCTGTGTGTGCAACGAATGGCTTATATGGCTCTGAAAGTCCTTTCAAAATCATTGCGATTATAAGTCGGTCACTAATTCTTTCTTTTGCATTTCGCAGTGATGTTACTACCTTTTCAGTCCGGATGATGTAGTCTGTCACAGTTTCTTCTGGCTCCTTTCTTAGCGAAGTCAGTTCTGTGTTCAGGGTAATAATCCTGGGCTTACCCTGACTGGCGTAGTGGTTCGGTAATATTTGTAGTGCTTTTCTGCCCTTGTCTGAGGCGTCTCTCATCACCAACGACAGGCTTCGGTCGTCGAGGAACTGTATTAGCTCTGCGTAGCATTCTGCATTAAAGGGATAGTGCACCCAAAAATTAAAATTCAGCCATTATCTACTCACCCTCATGCCGAGGGAGGCTCAGGTGAGGTTTTAGAGTCCTCACAGAGGGGGTAGCAGTGCAACTCCACCTAATGCAGGCTGACAACGCCCCAGATTAAAACATCCAAAAACACATAATTGAAACCACAAAATATCTCCATACTGCTCATCCGTAGTGATCCAAGTGTCCTGAAGCCCCAACGTAAAAAGTTGAGCGCGGTGCACAGAGAGGCAGGTTAGAGCTACAGGCTACAATGAGGCTAAAAACAGAGTTCAAATGACGTTTTTCCAAACAACTTTTTACTTTGGGGCTTCAGGACACTTGGATCACTACGGATGAGCAGTATGGAGATATTTTGTGGTTTCAATTATGTGTTTTAGGACGTTTAAATCAGGGAAGCCGTCAGCCATTAGGTGGAGTTGTGTTGCTACCCACTCCCCCCTTGGATCTCTGCAAGGGATGTGAGGACTCTAAAACTTCACCTGAGCCTCCCTCGGCATGAGGGTGAGTAGATAATGGCTGAATTTTCATTTTTGGGTACAGTATGCCTTTAATCTCTGCGCCGACGTTATCAGTGGCGAGGATCGTGTCTTTCAGGCCTAATATTCTCATGTGGCCGAGGAACTTTACCTCCCAAAGTTCGTATTTGTCTTCGTCTCCGTCGAAAACTAGTCTCTGCTGCCATCCTCCTGTACTGCACCTGGGCCCATAAGCTTTCTGCTGTTCCGTCCATTTTAGGACGGGAAAAACCAACATCATTTCTTCTTTCGTTTCTTTATTCACATCCTTTTTCACATGGCCACTGCTGGAACTCACACATGGCAATATGACACCACACACAACAACAACAAAAACGCACTAATCACTTTCATTGGCGCAAGAGGCTCATGTGACCTCCACCGAGTGCACGGCTTCACAATAAAAGTACAGAATAAGAACATGTGAGAACACACAACCCAACACGGAGCACCTGCTGCAGCAAGTGAACACATCATCTGTAGTCATTTTGATTTGACCAGCAGATTTCACTTCAAGCCGACTGACTGTAGAAACAGGTGACATGTTTTAAAAACCAGCCGCTGGCAATTTGACCAGAGTTGCAGCTGATGCTATCAGCCAGCTTGAGTCAAGCTCATACAGGCCAGTTCACACTGCTGCAACTTTTCTCTGAAACGTTCTGAAACAGTTTCATCTCGTTGCGAATTTTTGGTCTGAAGTGGGCTTTGAAAAAATAAGTCATTATTTCTTAAAGTTGCAACGATCAAATAAGTTGTGTATTTGATTAATTAATTTTCCTAATGTAACATTGGACAGTAACTACAGTGTATTTGTCATCTCTTCACAGAAGTACATGTTCAAAGGACTCCTTTAGATGAGGACTTTGTCAGACTGACCTGTACCCCCAGCTGTCCTCTGACTGACCCTCAGACCGCATATAGGTGGTACTGGCAACGATCTAGTTTTAGAAGACAGAGGACTAAACTTCTCTACAGGAACTTTGAGGGTCAACACTTTACAGTTCCCAGAGGAGGTGACAGTTTCTCCTGTGCTGTAAAAGGCCACGAGGATTTGCACAGTGCTCAAGTCTGTGAGTATGAAGCAGTTTTTGGTCTGTTACAACATTTGTGTCAGTGCTTGAAAGGCAACAATAATAAGCATCATTTAAATAATGTTTGAACATCACCAGTGGTGACCCCAGACATTTTTCAGATGGGTGGCCAGATGGTGGCCACTGAAAATCTTAGGGTGGCACACCAAAACCAAAAGCCATAACTGAATTTCAAGAATTCTATCATGAAGCCTATCCCAGTTGACATTGGGCAAGAGGTGGGGGTACACCCTGGACAGATTGCCAGACTATCACAGGGCTGACACATAGAGACAGACAACCATTCACACTCACATTCACAGGGACAATTTAGAGTCACCAATTACCCTGCATGTCTTTGGACTGTGGGAGGAAGCTGGAGTACCTGGAGAAAACCCACGCTGACACGAGGAGAACATGCAAACTCCACACAGAAGGGCTCCCCCAACCTGGGGTTTGAGCCCCCCACCCTGGGTTCGAACCAGGAACCCTCTTGCAATGAGGCAACACTGCTAACCACTGGGCATGGCCACCCCTTGGTGGTGCCACTGAACATCACCAGGGCAACCACAAAAACATCAATACCACTTTCTAATCAGGCAGCCTTTGGGTTTTTAAGCTTTAACTATTGTGTTTTTCAATGGAAGAAATGAGTGATTGCAGGTTTAAACACTTATTTAATGTGATGAATTTGATCTTTCATCTATATTTCAGGTGCTGAGGAAAAGTCCTGCTGGGATGTGAATTATGTCAGCAGGAGAATCTGCGCTCTGGAAGGTTCTTCAGTGAACATTGCAACTGAATACTCGCATCAAGACAACTGGCTACCAGAGTTTAAATTATGGTATAAAGTAAAGAGAAGTGGTGGAGAGAATGTTGAACATCTCACAACCAGTTCAGATCGTCTGAGGTATCATGACAAAATGAACAAAAGCCACATCCTGAGAATTACAAATCTGAGGAAGAATGACTCGGCAGAATACATATTCTCACTCCAGCGTAAAGGTGAAGAATGGAAACTGTCTGATTTCTCTGGAGTCACATTGGTTGTCACAGGTAATTCAAGAGAGCAACAGGACAGAAAGCTGGTTCAGACATGATGTAGAAATTAATACACCACATTGTACATACATGGTTGTATTAGGTTACCCAATAGGCACAGTCAAGTTTAAAAGATAACTAACCATCTCTAACCATCTTCCAGGTCTGAAAGTGACGTTTACTCCTTCTGCAGTGGTGACAGAAGGCCAGAGAGTCACACTGACCTGCAGTACCAGCTGTCCTCTCACTGACAACACAAACTACATTTGGTTCCTCAACTGTCGACCTCTGACCCTGACAGAGACCCAAACCAAACACCTGGTGCTAGACCCAGTCAGCAGTCAGCATGCAGGAAACTACTCCTGTGCTGTCAAAACCCAGAGAGACATCACATCCCCTGCAGAGACTCTCACTGTTCAAGGTAGGTATGCCTTTACATTTTAACTGAAAAGTTATTAGGAGCTTTGTTAGTATTCCAATCAGGAAGAAATGTATCATCCATCTTTCTAGGCCCAAAGATGGATGTTCCAATGGCAATAATTAATGCAGTCAGACTGACGGTTGCGTTGCTGATCCCGATTCCTCTTCTTCTCTTCCACCTGTGGATGAGGTAAGAGACATCTCCTTAGTGACTTTGTTTTTACAGTACAGTACAGTAATTTGAATTGTCTGATCAATAACATGGTGAGGCTAAAAGAGTCTGTTTCCCTCCGCGTCATCCTCCCCGTTTTAATGGCCTTGCAGACGCGCTCGCAGTGTGAGAATATCTCAGTCATGGTCATGAGTCCTGCAGCACAGAGGGACCCAGCACACTCCAAGAAGACACTGTGTACTGTGTGGCTAAGCATCCACACAGGATGCTCCACACAGTGTGCAGCAGCTGCCTGTCTTTATCATTTAGGTACAAGCTGGGCTGAGATGATCTGAACAGTGCAAAGACACCTCTTAAATCAGATTGGGAGTGAATGATGGCTTTACATGAATTATAATGTTAATGTGTGTCTGATGGATGTGAATGTAAGTCAGGGCTTTGGCTTTGTCAGCTTGTTGTGCAGTTGTTCTTTCCCAGAGTGGCAAAACAAATGAATGCAGCTTGATTTAAGGTTTGTTGTGTCATTGTCATTTTAACAGCTGCTTTAATATTAGCTGGGATGTTTATGTAGTGAAGATGTATTTTGCAGCTGCAACAGATGGCCACATACAGTTGGGGAAGATAGGTATTTATCAGTCCTTTGTTAGGCTCCACAGATGTAGCAGGAAATTACATAATTGGGTGTTAAAAAATAGGTGAATATAGAACTCTGGCATATGATGATTCAGTAACTTTTTCTACTGTCTGTTTATATTTGCTGTATCAGTTCATTATGAAATCCATTTAATAGCTTCTCTTAAGTTGTATAATCTCTTATGTTTTTCCGAATGTACACCAGATTTTAATTCATATTCTTGTCAAACATCTAATATGTAATCATTTTTTTCCTCTTTTTGTATGTCATGTGATATTTTAATGTATATACTGTAACACTTTCATTAAAAGCCTTGTTCCAATAAAACATCCAGTCCCTTTTACTATCCTGGTGTGGCTACACATTTTGACAAATAAATGCATGAGACCAATTAGATGCCAGGGGCCATATTCGCAAAGCTGCTTCTGGTGATGAAATTCTAAAAAAAATTCTTAGAATTGTGACATTTTCTTAGAATTTTCCCTTAAGGCCCTGACACACCAAGCCGACTGTCAGCCGTCGACCAAAGTCAGGCCATCGGTGAGCATCTGTCACCCAAGTTTTTGCGATGTGTCCCACACCGTCAGCACTTCGGCGTCGGTGACTTTTCGGCCGATTGAGCATGTTGAATTGCCGGCGGAGCTCGGCGGTGAGAGAGATCACTCTGATTGGCTGTTCAGGTTTTATTTCCTCGCCCCTGTAGCGAGTGAATCTGCCTGTAGTGAAACTGGGGCTAACCAGTGCTTCCTCCTCAGGCTCCACTTCACTCAGCTGCCCGAGAGATCCACCACTTCTTCCCACTTTAACCTGAATAACAAACTGGAGCTAGCTGGGAGCGGCTAGCGGAGCGTTAGCTGCAATATGACCAGAGGGAAGCACAGCCAGTTAGCCTCCGCTAGCCTCCCAGCTAGCCCTGGCTCTCCGTTTGGATCCAACCGGAGCACCGAGCCCTGGTTTGTTATTCAGGTTAAAGTGGGAAGAAGCAGTGGGTTTATCGGGCAGCTGAGTGAAGTGGAGCCTGCGGAGGAAACACCAGGACCTTCTGGATGTAATAGTCCGTGGAAGTGCTGCGGTGCTCGGCTGCACAGATAGGAAACCCCTCAGCTGACAGGATGTACTACCACGCTCTCACTCCGCTCTCTCTCACGCAGGCGCACGTATGTTCTGTACGTGCCACTTGGCCATGGAATGTAGTCCGTGTAGTGTGTTCAAATGCAACTGACACAGGGCAACGTGAGGCAATGACGCAACAGTTGGCTTTCATCGCTGCTAGTTCTTTGATGTCGGTTTGGTGTGTCTGCACCTTAAAGTTAAGACTAGATCCTTGTAAAGATAAAAGTTATTCACAAAGTGTCTTAGACCTTTAAAGAGCTTCTAAGATGAAAAGCTGTTAGGAGCAGAGGCTTAAAGCAACACTTACCTTTCTGGAAATTTTACGCTGTTGGTCTTCCCCACGTGGAGGCCTCCGACTGACATAACCACTCGCATAACATCAGCATCCAGTTGCTAATGGCTAATGTTAGCCTACTGTAGCGTAGCCTCTGAAACATTAACTTTATCTTCCTTGTGCGTTTCCACTTACTAGTAACGTTAACGCTACTATCTAACGTTAGCACTGTAACCTTATTCTAAAACTCTTCAGTCATCACTGACTCCGGTTGAGTTTTAAAACTCCGGGGTTGCGTTTGACTGTCTTGGTTGTAACATTACACTCGCTCTCCTCTTCCGTGTATCTAATGTGACCTTGCCAAAACCTATGTCTATCATAGACGTAATGAGGACGTAATGGAGAAGGAGGGAGTAGGCCTTTGGAGGGAGGTGGAGTTGCAGGCAGAGAGGGATCGGACTTTGGAGGGAGGTGGAGTTGCAGGAGGAGAGGGATGGGACTTTGGAGGGAGGTGGAGTTGTGGAAGTGTTGTGTGAAATGCAAGAAAGGTAAGAGTAGCTTTAAGAGTTTCTTAAGGAGAGGAGAAAATGGTGGAAACACAGAGAGGTAGGAGGAGTATTCTTTAAACGCTGGATGATATTGAGTAAATGCAACAGATTATATCATGTGGGAATAATATGTGTGGTTGATCTCATTTGGGATACACACAAATCTCCCACCTAACGATAAAATGCCAGAAATAAAATAATCACAACACTAAGATATTTGGAGAACTGGAAAAATGCAGCAGTGCAGCAGTGATGACTTGAGTCTGTCTCAACCTTCCATCAGCAGAGTGATCACAAAAGGCAGGCTCACAAAGGGGCGTGTATGTGACATATGTATCACATCTGTCAAAACAATGCATCATACACCTATCAGTGGGGTCGACCACACCTCCACACTAAGGTAATCGTTTCTGTCCCTTCCTTGCTCAGAGCTGCTCTGACAACTTTCAGTTTAATAGAAGTTCTTCGGATGTATAATGGCGGGTTGTTGGCTACCTCAAATTATGTGTCCATTCCTCAGTTACCATGTAAGTTATATATATTCCTTTAGTCCATAAGGGTCCTCAGATCATAAGAATCAAAAGGGTTTTTCATAAAAATTAATTCAAGTTGTGAGTAACGTTTTAACAGGATAAAGTGGTGTTGTGTCGACAAGCTGGGTGCTGTAATCGTCAAGTGTTGTAACTTTCTCTCTCTCTTTAAAGGGGAACTAATGTTTTTTTTCAACCTGGGCCCTATTTTCTCTCTCTATCTTCCTCTTTTGTCTAAATGAGTGATAGGATGTTCAATATTTGACATTTCTCCAGTACGAAGCTAGGGCTGACCTGCCTGCAGCCTGTGAGCACACGCTATATTAAATAATAGGGCACTCAGACAGCGTCAAACAATGTCAAAATACGTCCACTAAAAGTGCTTTTTTTTCCCACACAGATAGGCTCGGATTGTTAGTGTAATTATCCGACAACATAACGGAAAGGAGAAATGAACATCTGTGTTTACCTTGAGCTGGATTCGGACATGTTCCTCTGCCTGTTGCTACTCCCTCTCTCACCTCGTCAGCTCTTCAGTTTCATGAGCTCTGCATCCGTGTCCGGTCATCAAATTCAAATGGCTCATCCAGATCCAGTTGGTCAAAATCGGGTAAAAATTCAGCCATGACTACTCCAAACAGAGTAACTCCTCACGTTTGTAAGGTCACTCCAGCAGTAACTTCCTGCAGCAACTCAAATTTCAGAGCCAGACTTTCACTCTCTGAGTGAGTGTTTTGACTTGCCACAACAAACATGTCAGAATTTTTACCCTATTTTGACCAACTGGATCTGGAGGAGCCATTTGCCAGCTCAAGGTAAACACAGACGTTCATTTCTCCTTTCCGTTATGTTGTCGGATAATTATACTAACAATCCAAGCCTATCTGTGTGAAAAAAATGCACTTTTAGTGGACGTATTTTGACGTTGTTTGACGCTGTCTGAGTGCCCTATTATTTAAAATAGCGCGCTCTCACGGGTTGTGGGCTGCTAGCTTCGTACTAGCTAGCTTCATACTGGAGAAATGTCAAATATTGAACATCCTATCACTCATTTAGACAAAAGTAGATCGGAAAATAGGGCCCAGGTTGAAAAAAACATTAGTTCCCCTTTAATGCACTGTCTGTCAGAGCTAGATCAAATGAACGATTCATAACTGATATATTATCTGCAGCCTAATTTTTATACAAGTGATATTCATACTAGTTTGAATAAACAATTTGATTGCATTTCCCATCTTTGCTGAGCAACAGTTTTGTGTAAAAGGAATTAAAGGCCTGTCCCAAATATAGGCCTGTTGATTTCAGTGATTTAAGCAAATAATAGCCCGGGCTATTAATTGAATTTTACGGTAATGTACATAATTGTTTATTAAATGGTATAATTTATGTGTTGGATCCCAGGGAGATGAGTTGATGCTAGGGCATTAGCTAATGGGGACACTAATAAACATCATTATTTGTTGTGACTGATTTTGCTTTGACTTGCTTATAATGCTTACAAAATTGAAAATGTATCCAAAAAATGTTGCTCTTTGTGGTTATTTTCTCCAACACATATAATAACAAGACTCAGTTGTGTTGAATTCACATCAAGCACTAACAGGAGAACAAACAGATGGCTCCGGATGGAAATTTTCTGTTTCAAAAAGTCATAATATAGTTTATAAAGTCAGTAAGTTTATGTTTGTTCAAACTGACCACAGTTAACGCTCTCTTCAGTGTTGTTATTTAATAGTGCTGCGTTACATAGAAAGTCGGAACATCAGAAATCATCATTAATGATAACGTGTGAAGTGATAAATATATGAGCTGCCTGCAGATAGAATCAAGAGTTTAACCACTTACAGAGGAAGGAAGTGAAGATAGGATGTCGGAGCTACATGCTGTGTGTGATCACCTTCTGCACACTGACCAACCGTACATTCTGTCCTCTTCAGCCTTTACGCAGCAAAAGACTGGTGAGTAATATTTATATATGAATTTGATTTGCATCAATGCATCGTTGCAAAGACATCTATAAATACTGTTATTAATTTTTTTTTCTGATTCCGAGTTTACAGATACGACAGCAGCCATGCTTTGGGCCGAAGCTGGGTGTGTGCTGACATGTTTCATCCTGTACATCTCAAGTATGAATGTGTGTTTATTCATCTTTATGCCATGCTAAACTTCTAGCATGATGCTCTATGTGCAGTGGGTTTAACATATGATTCTTAAAGGGCACTCCACCAATTTTATCCATGAGGTTGACTCATCACAAGGAGTACTGCTCAGCCTGTGAAAACGTTTGTATAATGTTCCCTGTGATTCTGTAAGGTCCTATTTATGCACAAACATCAGCATACCAACATGCTCACTATGACAATGTTATGCTAATGCTAAAAGGGTGTAATGTTCACCAACAATTGCATTTGTTTAGCAAGTAGTCATAATCAGAGTACAGGACTAGTGGAAATTTTGATCAAATGATTGCACTAGCTGAAAAATTAAGTGATGATTTAAGGGTATGTTCAGTGTTTCTTAACCTGCACCCATTTGTCTCATGATTTTGTGTCAAGTGACCAATGCAGAGGAAGTAATCAGCAGCTCTGGAGCCACATGCGGCTCTTTAGCCCCTCCCCAGTGGTTCACTGTGGCTCTGAAAAAAATTAAATGGAAATGATTAAAGGTTATTTTAAGATTTTTATTATTGTTGTAGCCCTAAAGTGACTCTCACATTCTCCATTTGTAAAAACAATTGTAGCCTATATACTGAACACAAAAATGAATTTAATATTTTGTT